CTTACATACAAGATCGTTGAAATTTTAAAAATGTTTAATAATGAAAAAATGGCGAAACATAACGTGATATTTCCAATTAGATGCGTCTCCGCTCAAGGGGATCCATCCAACAAACGCCTAAATGGATACCGAACAGCAAATAATTTAATCAATTCTGTCCATAGAATATGTCAAATAATATACTAAACAAAATAAATTACACTAAAGAGAATCAAGATTTACACTGATTTAAGGTTGTCGTTGGCTTGTAGATAGTATTCAGGCTAGATCAAAGGACAAAGATAAGACACCGATTCCCAAAATCAGACTAATCACTGCCAGTTATAGAAGTGAAATAAATCGTATAAGAAGATACACCAACAGCGTATAAAAATAACAACGATCTCACCAATCCCATAAGAATCCAGCAACACTCAAAAAAATTAGGAGTCATGAAATTAAAATTAACTGCAAAATGCACACGACCAGCACATCCAAGCACATAAAAAGTAGAGAGCAACCAGACGATATTGGAAGCAGGGTAGCCTTCCTTCTGTTAGGAAGGAATACTCACTTAATTTTATCTTGCCGACTAGCTACAAGAACATTAATTAGACCGATGCGAGAAATTCCTAATGTACATAAAAAGCGATTCATACATTCACATACTAAAGAATGACACCTAAATTAGGCCCGGAGTTTCCGTATGCTTCGTGTGTGGAAGAACGGGCAGGAGTAAATCTGGGGAGTTCCAAAACAGGGAGGTAGAATCGACATAAGAAAAAACAAAATAAGTACGACAGGAAAGAGCTGCGACGCCATATAAATGTGTCATCAAGCGATGAGGGGTCTATAATTGCAAAAGTATATTACGAACAGCACCACCTCATAAGAACAAAACGAAAACATATCAAGGCATCTATCATAATTCAACGTAGTTTCCAGAAAATGAGGAAACCAAGAAGCGAAGCCTCAACCACAATACACTCACACACTACTAGAACGGGCAACTGTGCTCTCAGAATCCTCTCAACTCCCCTCTTCAGCTCCGTACCCCAGCCGCTGACTGCCTAGCTTTAATTCAACCACCCCCCACCAAAACAATCCTAGGCGTCGAATATCCCAACTCTCCTCACATTAACAGTATAACATTTCACGAAATGACGTAGGATTCACGATTTCTGACGACGAAGAAAAACGCACTAAAACAAAGATCCCCCATTTGCACAGCACTAGAAAACTCGGTAAATAGGACGTAACGTTATAACTTAGAAAAAAAAGATAAAAGACAAATTAAAGAAAAAAATGTAATATACCAGCCGCGGAGATTCTATCTTATTAAGCTCTCTAGCGTGATGCATTCCATCGAAGAGTTAAACCATTCAAGATAAACAATAATGAGTCAATCTATCATTTTTACTAGTCAAAAGGCATATCATTGCTCAATTCTAATATGACGGAATGAGAACGAAAGGCGTATAAAAATGACTCAGATACCCAAATAGTCTGTCTTTACAGACGAACTATGACATTCCATTAAACAAAGCAATCACACCAAGACACAAGAAGGATGAAAACATAAAGACAAGTTTAAAATATATAATCCTTCAAAACACATTGTCAAAACTGCCACTGATTGAACCGAATAAAAGATCATAACCGCAAAATGAGAAGTGTTTTTAGCAGCACAAATAACACAACACGAAAAAAAATATAAACACGCAGCAAAAAAAAAAAGAAAAATAGTAGTATGAAGAAAATTCAAGCCTACTGTATATCTCCACCAATCATGAAGAATTAAATACTTCTAGGTAAATTTACTATTAAAATCAACTTACAGTCCTTCACGAAACAAAGCAAAACGTACTAAAGTATTTAACAACGTTAAAAAAGCCTTACCCAGTCTCGCAATTAGTCCACTTTATAGTACTCATCGAACATAGTCACTGCTTCCAAGCCTTACAGATTGCAACTACGGAGTCTGCATAATCTAAGGCAAAATGATCACTCCAGCACAAAAGCTAAAAACCCTTGATTCACAAAGCTGAAGTCTCTAATAATAGACTACGATTAAAATAGGAAGAGTATATAAAAACTCCTATACGAGTAAGTCAATCAAGAAAAATCCTGACAATATAACACAACTATGAAACTGCAAACTATAAAATCGATAGAAAAAAAATAGCTATAAGCTCATACATTCACAATACCATCAAAAACAAAGCATTCTTAACAAATCTAACTCAAATAAGTCTAAGTATGCACATACCCAGAATCAAATATCCTAAACAACCTCTATAACTATAGGCGAAAATAAAACAAAGAAAAAGAGACCTCCTGCTCCTTCACGTCCTTCAATAGCCTTGTCTCATTAGTCCTTCCAGGTTGTCCCCTGGTCCCTGAACCCACCCTTCTCGCTACCTTCCAAAACCAGAGCCCTAACCTCTCGCACCCATGTTAATTGTAGACGAAAATCTACTATAAATAAACCACAACGTCTAAGAGCAATCCGGCTAACTCTAGATCAAATACACAGTCCCCTATCTTTTATAAACCTGTAACAACCATATGCCAAGACATTGCACAACACATCACATACTCCCTTTCAATCAGGCTATTAAACCCCATAAACGGAAATCAAATCCCAAATCCCAGCCAAACCGTAATCAACGAAACTTTAAGTCAACGAAAAAATCTTTAATCAAATCAACCCTCACAACGAATAAACACACAAAAAATGCACATGTACACACCCTAACTCATAACAAATTTACAGACTCCAGTGTACTACGCTCATCAAACTACACTTTTGTAAATTAATATGGCAGTCGAAAGAGGAATGGAAGTTTACCCGTCGGTAAAACAATCGTCTAGTTTCAACACAACTTAAGCAAAAATCCGATAATGCCAACTTTACTATATTAATTAGTGCAAAAGTTTTAAAATAAAAATATTGTAGATATTAAAGAAGTTTAAATTAATAAAATACAGTTGTATTATACAGAGATGTCTCGTTACATCATCCTTAATTCAAATTTTTAAAAAAAGTTATAAAATCCACTTGGAAACAAACTGTAAACGACAACTGTCGCCATCCCATCACTATTGCCCAGCGTCTCATCCCGTACTACGATATCATTAGCGTTGCCAAGCCGTTCTTTCATGTCATCGGTTCATAACGGAACCGTTGTCCGAGAGATACTCTTTCATTCACACTATACCTTATATCTCTTTGCCGGCCAATTATTCCCCATCGACCCTTATTCGGTCGATACCACACACAGATGAATTCTCGAACCCGAAACCATACATATACCAACTAATATACAATACATACAAAATGACTATTTTTTCTGACACTACAATAACACCAGGTCAGAATGTCATATCACAACAGGTACAAAATTAAAACATAAGAACAAATATTAATAAAATACTTATTTTCCTAACAACGCACTCTCACTCGTACAATAAACCATGTACGAAAACTAGAACTTGATAAAAATATTACTAGGAAGAAACAACAATTTTGAGAACAAATTTGTCGTGCTTCCAAACTAGCTTCGAATTTAGCTATATAAACTTCAATTTCATTCAATGTCGGATATGAATAAATAATAATCAGTAATGATATCACTATAAAATCAACAGGTATACTCTCTTATATCGGAGAAGGAACAACAAAGACTCAATAAAAGAACTTAAATATACCAACAACAAGCCATAAATGTTCCATTAAAACACATACAAAAGTATAAATAAAGATTCTAAGAAATCGCAACCATACATACAACTACATACTTAAATTAGGAAATCACCAAGATACTAATAATATACCAAGCAGTAAAAACCACACTTAACACAATTAGACAGTCCACGAATAGGCTCGCCAACTACAAATTTAGAGGTAACTTAAATTCTACATAAAACGCACCCAGATGAATCTCACCCATACAATCCTAAATACACTAAAATAAAAATCTAAGATAAATAACATATTACAATACCGTGCATAAACAAAATATAGTAAATCTCAATTGTCTTTAATAATAAAAACATCCACTATTCCCCCCCTATGTCTTACCATTCTAACTCCAACTCGAATTCTCGCCTCTCTCATCAGCACTTCATCCCCCCACATGAGCTCACCACGTCAATCACCACCCGCACGCCACACCCCCCGATCCCCAAAAACTCCCCCCCACAAACCCTTACCCCCTCTCGCTTTCAATCGCCTATAAGTACACCATTCCTACATCCAACCACTCCACCATCCGTGCACCGCAGACCACAGCTCATTAAAAATCACAAGCACACCCCCCCACACTCAAACAAAAAAAAAAAAAAAAAACACAAAACAAAAAAAAGAAAAAAAAAAAAAAAAAACAACAAAAAAAAACTAAAAACCAAAAAACAACAACACGAAACCAAAACCAGACTGAAGAAACCAGAAAAAAAAATCACCCAACATAAGCCGCAACCCAACTACAGACCCCAACGCCCCAGGGCAGAGGCCCTCTATACCACCGCTAATACAACCACAGCAATGCGGAACCCCCGTTCCCTGTCTTTCTGTTCACCCTATCAACTTCGCACCCCTTCTCACAAAAAATAGGGTACAGAGCCGTTCTCCCTCCCTTTGGCCCCCCGGACGTGAGGCCCCCTCTCGAAGCTCCTATCCCGCACAACTAGACCCGTCTCTTTCAGACCCGGTATAAAAATCGCCCCCCTTACCTCCCGTACTTCCCGCTAAGCTTTATCCGTTTTCCCATGCCTACTTCGGTTCCTTACATACTCTTCCTTGACTCCTCGGGCTCCGGGTGTACTTGCGCTATCTTCCTTATCTCTTCCTAACACCATCAAGAGGCTCGCCTTTGATACAATCCGCCCCCTTTTCATCTCGAAGTCAATCTTTGTTTTGCGTCAAAGTGGAATACCACGGAAGTAAGGGCCCGATTGTCGCCGCAAGCATATCTCGGCCTCCCAAACCTATTCATTCTTCCTTTTTTTGCGTTACCACCCCCTATACTCTTGCTACAATCTTTCGTCCCTCTCTCTCCCCCGAACAGGCAGGTGCCTTCTACCCGTTCATGAGAGCACACGCTCACCTGGACACTCGCAGAAGAGAGCCCTGGCTCTACGACGCCGACAAGATGGCCGCCATAAGATCAGTGGTCAGACTCCGCTACCAGCTCCTGCCCTACTGGTACAGCGTGTTTCACGAGGCCCACCGCATGGGCCTGCCCGTCCTCCGCCCGCTGTGGGTGGAGTTCCCGAGAGACAAGAACACGTGGGCGGCAGAGGACCAGTTTATGGTGGGAGACTGTCTCCTGGTTCACCCAGTCACCGAGCAGGGAGCTACCTCAGTCCAGCTATACCTCCCCGGGACCTCCACCGTGAGCTAGGGGATAACCCTTTTATCAACATTTCATTTGATTATTCACTAGGGGACAACCCTTTAATCAGTGTTTCTATTATGCAAGGCTGAATACTGGAAGGTTTACCACTATAATAGAGGATGTGATAAGTTTGTCCGATGGTCCCTGACCCTCACTACTCACCAACCCTCAAATTTTTTTATCAGAGAAAACTTTTCCAGACGATTTTTAATCATGAAAGTTATCTTCTATGAAAGTTTCCCACAGTATATAGTGTTTCTCTCTTCCTCCAGTTGTGGTACGACATGGACGACTACACGGTGTACACAGGAGGCAGTCGCTACTCTATCAGTGCTCCACTGAACAAGGCAAGCATACAGTATAATTATACATACCCCTGGGTGTGTGGGAATGATGTAAGTAGCACCTCTCCTCGTGGCAGATACCCGTGTTCCAGAGAGGAGGGACGATAGTTCCAAAGAAGATGAGAGTTCGTCGATGCTCTTCTCTGACTGCCAATGATCCATACACTCTCATAGTCGCTCTGGATGAGAAGGTCCCTCTCATTACTCCACCGTACTGCTCATTAGCTGCATAACTATGCCAAAATACACAACCTTTTTCATTAATGACTATGTGCACAAAACATTTTTGTGAAAATTAGCACTTTTCGAAGGTTTTATTCTGTCCTCTACATGTGCAGAAAGAGGCGAAGGGAGAGCTGTATATTGATGACGGTCACTCCAATGACTACCTGACTGGGGGGTTCGTGGTTCGAGAGTTCGAATTTGACCGACACACGTTCACCAGCAGGTAGTGCTCACAATACTGTCATGTGATGGTCATGTGACTGGGTGTGGTCTGCAGAACATGGGCTTTTAGTGGGATGTTCCCGACCAAGGCATGGGTGGAGAGGATCGTTATATTGGGCTACCCTCTGGAGCCTTATCGAGTCATGATCAGCTTAGGTATGTGTACACAAGACACCCTATATAGGAACATTGAGTGTTCACCTCTGAGGTGTCCCTTACTAACACTTTGTATGGGGCAGAACTACAGTGCCCTCTATAATATGGAGAGTCCTTTTTCGTAGTGCATTGTGAGCAGGTTTGGGTAGTCTGCAAAAATCTTCACTCGTGTGTGATGCGGTCTCATAAAGTACATAGTCATGAAGACTTTGCTCTTCCTGCAGGTGCCGGCAGTGAAGAGCTGATGTTCGACTACAAATCTTCCAACAAGGCACTCACCATCAGACGACCTGGAATCAACATTCTCGAAGATTTCTCCATCACAATCTACGACGGCTGACTCCTCCCCTCTTCACTAGAGAACTCAATTTTGATAGGGGCCAACTGCTAATTTAGAACTAATTGTCAATCACTGATGTTCGTTAGTATTATATATACAGGTTTCAAATTACGATTTCTAGAGGGTGTGGCTAGTAGTGGTGGGTGTGGTCTCAGTTTGACCCAAGTTAGTGGGTGTGGTCTGAGGTGTCACATGATCTAGTGAGAGATGATCCATGTGGAGGTCATTTGGCTGTGGCTCATCTCGCCTGTCTCTCTTTACATCAGCCTACAAAGTGCAGTACAACAAAGCAGGGACACTAGTGTTCAAAGGTGGCCCTTACTTGAATAATACATAATTGTATGGGTTATACCAAATGTGTCTTACAGAGGTGTCCTCTATATTATTGAGGGTCATTATTCAGAGGTATGTATCTACATTCTCTCCACCTCATATCCCTCAATGGTGTGTCTCTTGTAGTCAAGAACGTTCTCTATCTCCTGCTCACTGCTCATCCTCACCCAGCCAAAACCCTTGTGGAGACCAGTCTTAACGTCCTGAGCACGCGAGAAGGTACGACAGTGTGGAGGTAAGCCCGTTTCAGACTTACTATGTGGACCACCGAGAAGAGGACCGCGCCGAACTTCTCGAAGTATTTCCGCAGACATGCTGTGGGAACAAGAGGCGGATCCGTATCGTGTGGCAAGTACAGGCATATCCCTGTAGTTCTTTACCGTCAGACACTGTCCAGTGGAGACGACTGACGAACAAACCTACTCCCACCTTCGGCACCCTCACCGCCATGCTCCTGCTGGTAGAGTTCAAAGTTCGACACGTGGTTGTCTCTAATTATGCGGAAGAAAACTAACAATTTTGAAACATGGCAGCGTCTTCTCGGAGTCGACGTCTTCTTAAGCTGGGCCTGTCTACGGCAGCCGTTGGAACGCTCGGCGGAGGCTACGCACACGTGAAAGACACACCGTGGTGGTCCTCGCTGCCTCCCGTTCGCTTTGGCAGAGCTGCAATTGCAGTTAGTTAGACCGACAGCTAATGGTGTCTTAGGCATTTGCTCGTCTGCGCTGCACAGGTCCTTCTAGCCAGCGCCGACTACAAGTGGAGTCTGAGGAACCTCGAGTACGGGACGGATGAGTACCGCTCCACCATGAAAGAGGTATATTGGGGCATGAGAACGGAACTGCAGAAAGTTCCAGCACCAACCAGCAACCATAGATAGGTATATATAAGTGTGTCCGTGCAGGTCCACCAGCGCTCGGCACTAAGGCTGAGACGAATGTGCAGTCTCAACGGAGGTCTGTTTGTGAAGGTCGGGCAGCACATTGCATCCCTGGACTACCTGCTTCCACGTGAATATGTGAGCACCTTCAAGGTGTTCCACAGCAGTGCGCCCAGCACTCCACTGCTCAGACTCAAGAGAGTCATCTTTGAAGAGTTCGGAGTCCCTGGTAAGGAGAGAAAAAAGAGAAATAGAGAGAGAGAGAGGAGGAGAGAGATTTTTCATCTTTCTTCCCTCAGCGGAGGAGTTGTTTTCAGAGCTGGGTGAGCAGCTGGGCGTGGCATCTCTTGCCCAGTGTCACCGTGGCGTTCTACACGACGGTCGAGTCGTGGCGGTCAAGATACAACATCCCGACGTCAGGAAGAACGGCTACACTGACATGAGTGTGATCGATGTGAGGGACGCGGATATGACCGAGATTATTTTACTGACCTACCTCTCTGTCTCTCTCCCTCCTCCTCTTCCTCTCTCTCCATCCTCCTCCTCTTCCTCTCTCTCCATCCTCCTCTTCCTCTCTGTCCCTCTCTGGCCCCAGCTCCTAGTGTCCGGCGTGTCGTTTGTCTTCCCAAACTTCCACTTCCAGTGGCTGGCTCGAGAAGTGCGAGCCAACCTCCCCAACGAACTGGACTTCCAGCAGGAGGCCAGGAACCAGGAGAAGTTCTCCGCGATGTTTAAACACCTCACCTTCATCAAGGCTCCGCGTGTCTACTGGAGGTATACCAGTACTCGGGTTCTCACAATGGAATTCTGCGACGGAGGCAAGCTGGACGATCTGGACTACATCGAGAAACACCAGCTCCCTGTCGATGAGGTGTAGTGTGTATGTGTGTGTTTCTCATCTTCCACTATGCTGAAGTTTGTTGAGCAATATTTTCGTTGATTGGGACTTTGTGAATCACCAAAACGATGTGGCTGGACTGCTCTACTTTTCAATTCAAGCCTGGTCAGATTACAGCACCAACTCTTCTGGTTTGTTCAGATCTCCCACAAGTTGGGACGGATGTACAGCGAGATGATATTTGTGACTGGGTACATCCACTGCGACCCTCACCCGGGGAACGTCCTTGTGAGGAGACGCCGACTGAGTCGGAGAGAGAGGAGGGAGGGGAGAGGGAGGGAGGGAGAGGTCGAGATTGTTCTACTAGATCACGGACTGTACACTGTAAGTTTTGAGAAACAAAGACGTAGCGATTGATTCATATGCCAAGCTGCCTTGGATAGTCTCAATCGTAATCGGCTCTCCATCTGGTCTTTCTCAGGTTCTCACGGAAGAGTTCAGAATGAAGTACTGCAGACTGTGGCAGGCTCTCATCAACAAGGACCTGGAGGCGGTCAGGAAGTACAGCGAACAGCTCAACGCAGGGCAGCTCTACCGACTGCTGGCGTCCATGATCTGTGCTCGAGCCTGGGACAGTATTGCCAGTGGCATCGACCAGGCCCCCATGTCTCAGAATGAGGTATTGCATGCTTCTGTCACTTAGGCACGGATTGCAGAGTGGGCTTCAAATAGTAGCACAGTTCTTAAACGCCAGTTCTACCGTAATTTGAACCTTTTATTATTGTAATCTCAACCTTTTGATAGCTTTGTTGTGCTGTTAACTACAGCATTTGTCTACCTCTCCTCCCCTCCCCAGTTGAAGCGAATCAGAACCAATGCCCTGATGTACCTGTCTGAGATCACCCAGCTCCTCGACACAGTGCCGCGACAGCTGGTCCTCATTCTCAAGACCAACGACCTCCTCCGCTCGGCAGACCACGTCCTCCGAGCCTCCAACCACAAACAGTCGTTACTCACCATGTCAAAGTGCTGTCTTCGTGCCATCGGGGACCACGATATACAGCGGTGTTCGTGGTGGGTCGGGCGAGTGTACGTGAGACTCAGGACCGGGTGGTCTGTACTGATGGTCAGTATCTACGAGCTCTGGCTGAACACTGCTAGAGCACTTGGCATGGCGGCTCTGTAGCCTATATACCAGTGTATGTGTGTCGATGTGTCTGTCCGTCATGTGAGCTAAACCAACTCCACCTGAAGTGTGCAATTTCTTATGGACATTAAATTATATGAATGTACACACGTCTTGTATTAAAACTACACAAAGTAGAATTTTCTCTCTGTACGGCAGAGCCAGCAGAGGTGAGGGTCTGTGGTGTTACGATAAAAAGACACAAAAGTATAGCCAGTCACTGGAAATGGCTGCAGCTAATGGTGCGATATATATATATAGATATGAACAGTTCTTGAGCATTGTTTGTCCATGTGTACATATACATAATATAATGGTGGGATGGAGGGAGAGGGAGGGAGGGTCAGTGACATTCAACTGGAGGAGTTGAAGAAGTGGTTTGTGTGGCGGCCGACTGGTGAAACTGGTGGGCTTGAGCTAAGATACGGGCAGCTGCAATGGGGGAGAGGAAGAAGAAGAGTAAACAAGCAGTAATGGTTTAACAATGATAGATGTAGCGCACAAACCTCACCCCGAGCAAGGTTTAACTATAGATTGACGTGCTTGTTCTCACAATACCTTCTCTCTCCTTTCGCCGGGTGCGTCTTCTCCGCCTGTCCATCTGTGCGACCTCTGACTTGAGGTCGGACCATTTCTGCTGGATGAGGCGAATATGCTCCTCTATTAGTCGCACTCTCTCCCCGCACTTCATCTCCGGCCGCATCGCTGCAGTGGACAGATTTACAATCACATCCACGTATACATACAGTAAGAACAGCTAAAGGAACTGAGGGGGGACAGGGACTCACAGAAATCGACGACAAACTTGAGGCTCTCTCTCCTGGCCATTCTCCGCATGGCGTACTCCTCGTCTGTCTCTCTAACTCTCTTCCTCCTCTCCCTGCTCCTCTCACCGACCCTCTCTCCCCCCACCTCCTTTGACTGACACACCGGGGTCGAAGAGACAGGCGACGGCTCCTTCTCGCTGCTCACAACCGACGACTTCTCGTCCCCCGATTTCTCTGCCTCCGTCTTTCCCTCATCTTCGTCATCCTCCTCAGCCTCTTCCCCTCTCCCCTCTCTTCCTTCTTCCTCCACCTCCTCCTCTTCTCCACCTTCCCTCTCCTCTTCCCCCTCTTCATCTCCTCCTCCTCCTCCTCCTCCTCCTCCTCCTCAACTCGTCTTTCTCTCTCAGGTCAAACACACCCGGGGACGCGTCGTCTAGTTCCGGTCGTATCTGAGTAGTGGCAGGGGAACTCCACACATCATCTGGCGGGGACCGAATCGGGGACAGCAGTGGAGGGAGAGGGTGATTTCGCCTCCTCGTCGGTGCTGGATTCGGTGCTCTCTGAATTAGAATTTGACGTCGTGTCGTGGACTGCTCTGTGTTGTCGCCCAGTTTCGTAATCGTGGTCGTGTCCGCGTCTCCAGCCACAATGGGTTTCAATCTTGAGGAGCCGAGAAGCATCTCTGGACAGAGAAGAGAAGTGTGGGAATTGTCTGTCGCATTTGGAGAAGGAAGAAATCTATAGTTCACCTCTTTCTTGACCTCGATTGCACAACCCATGCCCATTTCGTCAGGGCATCCGCCGTTTAGGACAGAGTTTTCGACCTGAGGTGGTACGAGTGTCTGTGTGACAGCGGGGAAGGTGTGACGGTGGTCAGCAAGTGTGGTCGATGAGGAGGAGATGGGGTGTGATGTGGGAGGGAGGGGAGGAGGTGGAGAAGTGTGGACGATGGTTGGGTGGGTATCGAGGGAGGGAGAGGGAGAGCGGTGATTGTTGTGCTGGTGGTGATGGTTGTGCACTTGGGGAGGTGAGGGAGAAGACGAATCTTGACGAAGATGATCGCTGAATCTCCTCCGTTTGGACGACGGAGGTCTCGGAGGGCGCGGAGGTGGACCCAGCTGACCTCCGACTCCGCCCGGAATCTCGGGTGGAGTGGGTGTGGCAGGGGGCGGAGGAACTCTCTCCTCGGCTGTTGCCACATAAGAGAAGAGCTGTTCAGCCGGTCCTCCCCTCCCTCCCTCTCCTCTGCTCTCCTTCGCTCCCTTCCTCTTCTCAGAACTCACCATCTTTGCCTTTTTCTTCTGCACACACACAGACAGTACGATTGAAGCGACTGCATTACACGTACTATGCTAGTATTGATAGAGGCAAAACCACACAATGAAAAGTACAGCAGAACACATAAGACTCCTCAGGTTTTCCATTGTGGATATAAAAACTGGCCACGATACAAACTGTCCCCGCAGCGCAATATTGCATAGTTTCATACGTATACAGTAGTGAGAGTTCAATGTACGTATATACCTTGTATGGTGGTCGAGCATGCTTCGTAGGATTTGTGACTTTTCTCAGAATTCGTGACTCCTCCACCCACTCGTTGTACCTGCAGAGGAACGAAAGGAAGAAATCTCTCTTTCTCTTCTTCCCTCTTTCACCTCCCCCCTCTCTCAACCATCAGTATAATATACAGTTTATCGCATTTGCCTTACTTTAATAACACCTCGATTGAGTATTGATCGATGATTATTGCAAACACACAGAGAGCAGAGGCAAAGTTAACAACACGACGGAGCCCAGGGAAAAAAGAGCTGCCCTATGTTTGCTACAGCCCAGCTCATCGGCAATATTATTTGAGTATATATACGGCATGGCCCAGGCTTATGAGAAACACTGTTTCGGCAATGTTTAGCTTCTTTCTAACCTGTTGTTCCACCCGCTATAGTGGACGAGGTAGTCCCTCCTCTCCTCGCTCTCCTCCATGCCGATGACTTTCGCCTCGTAAGTCTCCATGTTCTTCCCGTTCCCGTACCAAACAAGCACTCGGTCGTTCTCCGCAAATTTCTGGGGCTCCCTCTGGGCCCAGGTGTCCCCTCTCCCGCCCATCTCCTCCCCCTCTTCACCAGTCGTACTGCTAGTGGTGTCCCCCGGATACGACTCGTGGTCAGACGGCTCCGATTTGCACTCTGAGACCCCCAGGCCAGTCGACGGAGAGCTGGCTTTCTCTGTCATATCATCTCTCGAGAAGGAAGCTCCTCTCCCTCCTCCCGGGGTCACTACAGCTGCTTCTGGTGATGGTCGCGCGTCCCTCCCTCCCACCGTTCCGTCTCTGACTGAAGACAAGGGAGAGGAGGGGAAGAGAGAAGAAGGAACGTCGCGTGAAGGAGGCCTTGCATCCCTCCACGACGGCTCCTCTTTCGTCTGTTTCGAGAGTCTCGTTGCCCTTGGCTCCCCGGGCTCCGACTTCACCTGGACCTCCTCGGAGCTCCCGATCCTCCGCAGTTTCCCAGCCCCTCCCCCCTCTCCCTCCGTCTCTGGCAGGACCGAGAGCGGGCCCCTCTTTCTCCCCTGCCCGGCGAATCCTTTGGCCCGTTCACCCTCCCTTTGCTCTTCCCGTAGCACTCAAACCCATAGAGATATCTGCAGTAATTGTAACACAGGTGAGGGAGGGGTGTAGGGGAGATACAGTGCAATCGGCCGCACACACACGTGAGAGGTGTTGTGAATGGGCCCAACACACGTGTGTTATGGCGGCGGTGTAAACATGTATGTATGTACAGAACAAGTGTAGTGGGTTTAATGGAAAACAAAGTGTGAAACACAGGGATTAGTCTCAGTGCCAGTAATACAGTACACAAGGAGTAAAACAGGGAAATTCAGATCACTAGGTAGGTTTGATTACTTAACTTGCATAAGAAATACAGACACCTTGTGCCTAGTCTTATGTAAGAGGAAGCCCCTAGCTAAATCGAACCAATTAGTACGTTAAATAGTGTCCACAGGCAAGCTTGGTTTAGAACAAGACAGTGGTCAGAAATTTAACTTCGTACGCTTGCTTTATTTGCCAAAGATTTCAACAAAACGGAAGCCCTTGGCTAAATTGAACCAATTAGCACATTAATTGGTCTCCAAACTCACTTCCTGTATGCCTGTTTGAGGGCGTGTGAGGCGTTGGTACTGAGGGGAATCCCCAGCTGAAGGTAGAGGGAGCGCCATTTCATCTCACGAGTCACAGACTCCATTCCCCCGTTCTCCTGTACCAGGTGATACAGTCTGTACAGGTCGAGGTCCTTCTGGGCCAGGATAGGGGTCCTGTTCAGAGGAGTCCCTGATAGAGAGGGAGAGACAAATTGTTTTCGTTATCAGGCCCATCCAAAAAGTGTCAATGTTTCCTGACAAATGGTAGAAAGACAGTAGCACATCCTTTTCTCCCACACTGTGATTGTATACCTCTGTTCTCATGATATTTCCTCAGTTGGTCCATGAAGACGTGTCGGTCCGTCCCTCGTTGCTCGCTTGCCTCTTCTTTCGCCTGTGGACTTGCCGCCGAGCCAGCCGCAATGGTGGGTGTGGTCCCACCGGTGGCCCCGCCCACCCGTTGCTCTCGTCTTTCCTACACATGGGGCAGGGAGCAAAATACTTACAATAGTGATGCCCCACAAAGACAGAGTCACCTTTGGCATTCATTACTGCCTCTTCTAAAAATCAATGGCTTGGCTTTTGATTTCTGCCCCAATATTTCTGGACTGTTTTTTTGTCCCAACATTCAAGAACGGAGGTTGTGTTCATACCTTTTCCGTCTGTCCGTGAAAAAGGTCCATGTCCCAGGGCAGTTCACCGGTGTCGAGGTAGGCCATGGCTCGCTCTATGGCTGGAGAAAGAAAGAAAGAGAGGGGAGAAGGAAGATAGATAAAGTTTCAAAGTATGGTCAGGCTTCCATTTAGATATTGATCTCAGGGGGCAATAGTGTATTAATGAAACAAGAGGAGCAAAACCCTGTGGTTGCGTGCATTAAAAGGTTGACTTAAGCTCCTAAGGGGGCGAGTCCCCCCCAATGAACCCCTGATGATGTCAAAAAAGTGGCGGTGAGTGCTGACCTGGTTTGCACATGTACATTGGCTGTATCTCTCCGTCCAACATGCTGAGGAGAGGTTCCTTGTGAGGTGAAAACTCGTGGAGTTCGTTCTTTGTCACCGCAAAACTGGAGAAAACAACATTCACGAGTGATACATCAGAAATTAATTAACTGTGTGTTACACAAGAAATATCTGGCGGGTGTGTGTGTGTGTGGTGTGTGTGTGTGTGTGTGTGTGTGAAGCGAGAAATATGATCGGGTAGAGGAGAAATAGCTGTTCTAGACACTCACAATCGTCCGTCTTTGAAGGAGCGAAGACATATCGTATTTGGTTTCCTGTCGCTCTCCTCCAGAACATAGTGAGCCGGAACAATCTGTGAGGATTACATCATCGTACAAGACAATCGAACCACCAGCTAGATCAAAGAAACGACTATTCCACACAGAGTTATTCACTCTAGCAAGAGAAGGATACTGTGCAGTGAGAGTATGTACGGTTTGCCACGTTGGTTTGAAGGGACCTACCACAGCAGGTATCCAGCCTGCCCGCCTCCTGTCGTTCTCCAAGAAGACCGTCTTCCCGACCGGAAACTCGGGAGGGTAGGTGCAACCTTTCCTCTCCCCGTCTCCTTCCTCCTCTTCCTCATCGTCTCCGTTGACTGCTGCCTGGGCGTAGTTTGGCCTGGCAGCTCTCCTTCGGGGCTTCTTGGGCTAGAGAAAGATGAAGAGAGAGAGAGAATCAAGAGACACCAGTTTGGACACATTAGATTAAAGGCCACACCCACTAAAACTGGACCACACCCACTCACCAAAATTGCCGGAGCTCCAAAATGCTCGGGATCTGTCAGAGGCAAATTATCAAGACTCTGTGAGTGAACGGGGGAAGAAGACAATCTAACATCACACACAAATAGTATTTGGATGACTATTGAATCAGAGAGATGATTATGGAGCACCAGCTGGTGGGTTTTTGCTCTGAGACCAACAACACACCACACAATTACTATCATACTCCAACAAACTACCATTAGTGGCAGTTCTGAGGAATTCTTGAAACGTCTAACGTACGCACACACATGACAAACACTCTACCAAGGTGTCGGGTCATGTGTTTGTAGGTGAGCCCATTGACATAGGCAGGTCTTGAAATTTGGTTGGCAGCCAGGCCAGCCAGTTGTTTCTAGCCCTCAGCGAGGCTACATGATAGTGATCATGTTGTGACTCCATTAGCTCATGCTTCTGGCAAGGCTGTGGCTAACTACACAGTGCTAACTACACAGTGGCTAACTACACAGTAGCTTCGGCCCTTGACTAGAGATATACACAGATCGGATAGAAAGAACCAAATCTGTCAGGAGACAAACTCAGACATTGCAATTTGAAGTCCAATGCACTGAGCTACAAATCCCAGACAAGAGCCGGTCATCGCCCTCTCCTTCTAAGTATCAAGGATCGATCTCAGCTGTGGGATCTCCCTTCAAACATATGGCAACCATCTCTTAAGTAATCAATCTTTAACCAGTTCAACTAAATACAAAGTTCCATCCCATGGCAGTATTTGGTGACCCACCTCGCTCTTGTCAAAGTGGCGTCCTCCCTTGAGGCAGAGGGAGGATCTCTTGAGAGTCCTCTCATCGCCATCATCAAACACTGACAGAGGAAGAGAGGGAGAGAGAATCAGACAAGAGAAGGAGAAGATGAGGTTTCAATGTGAAAAGGGGTTGGCTATATATACACTACAATAGATTTGAAAGACAAGTGAAGTGTAAATATTTCCAGGAGGAGTAGGGAGCATAATTATCATGGCACAGATCTACCATCAATCTAGACCACTGTCTCTTGCCTTCACTTTACTCCACACACATACTACTGGGCTAGTGTTATGTATAGCTTACCAACAGTATAGGTGCTCTGGTCAGTGAGTTTTACGATGTTTGCTGTCAGCACTTGTCCATCTGGCTGTGTTACATCCACATGTGCTCCAACCTGCAGAGAGAGGAGTGAGGTAGGGAGGAGATAGAGAAGAGAGGTGGAAGAGGAGAGGAGAGAGAAGAGAGAGAGAGAGAGAGGAGGGGAGGGAGGGAGAGAAAGACAGAGATGGAACGACAGAGGGAGGGAGGGACGGAGAGAGGGAGAATAAGGAGTGGGAGAGGCCGGTAAGAGCCAGCCAGTCTAATACACTCATTAAACAGCTGAACGAATTTGGCACGACCTCTGACGGCGGTGGCAGTGAAAGCCACGCTGCACAAGTCCTCACTCACCTCCACACCCCTCACTCACCTCCACACCCCTCAGAGGACAATACTCTCTCAAGAGGTGAACTGTACGCCCAATGCTCAGTGGTGAATGGACCGGCTGATCCTCAATCCACAAATCCCAATCCCAAAGCCTACTTATACACATGCCAGGATGGTTCACCTACGAAATCACTATATATACACACCACTGCTGCAATTTTACCAAATTCACGCATATTATTCATGTATCCCTTCAGATTGAATATGACGTTTATTGTACCTTTAGTGTTCCTTGTATGCAATCGCCGCCGACCATTGCACTGTGACCTTTTCCATAGGACACCTGCAAACAGTAATAGATTCGAACGGAGAACGGAGAACACACAAAGATGAGAAAATAATGAGAGACACAGAATTCTGATATCGCAGAGTATCAAGTGTTTTTATCTGAAATGAGGGCTTCTATTGCTTGCCCCTTGTCAGTTTAAGACCGCTATGCTAGCTGGACCACCTGATTGATGAGGACATATACCAGTCTATATACTTATCACACCACACAACAAACCTGTATACCAATAATGATCAAAGGGATAGAGAGAGAATAAACTGAGCCTACACATGGACATACCTCATCACAAAGGTCACTGTATAGTGTGAGCTCTGTACCAGTGACCCGACATACCGTATGTCAAAAGATGTGTGTTGGAGAGGAAGTATGGGGAAGGAGAGAAGAGAGAGAGAGCGGGAAGAAGAAGGAAGAGAGAAAGCGTGCACGACGAGAGCTAACCTTGCATTTGACCATCTTCTTGGCGACTTTGATGGTGGCTTCACAGAAGGCTCCCCTGTACTTGGCACTCACCTCAGTCCCCACTGTCAGATACGGAGGGTCATCACTGTTTGCCTGGCAGGGTGGGTGGGGAGGGAGAGAGGGGGGAGGGAGAAAATGGGATCAGCATTACAAGGGATCCTACTGACTACTGTGGCTAAAAGGCAAAGCTAGGGTTGGAGGGAAGTATTTGTGTACCGCCAGCAGCAACGACGGTGTAAGGCAGTGTCTGGATACACGCCTACCTCGCGGGACACGCGGGGCAGCTGTAAACAAAGGCAGAGCTTGTCACTCCCACAAAAGGCAGGGGAACGAGGCTAAGAGAAAGGGGGCCTGAACGAAAACTCTCCGCTATACGGCTCGATGGACGCTGTC